CCCTCTCGTCCTCTCTCCCTCTCTCTCTCCCTCTCTCTCTCTCTGTCTCTGTCTCTGTCTCTGTCTCTGTCTCTGTCTCTGTCTCTGTCTCTGTCTCTCAGTTCCAGCATAGACGAGGTTAAAGAAAATACCCATGGAAACATTTTGAATTATCTGTGTGTTTCTCTGAAATCTCTGAATTTTAGAATAACAAAGTATTCCATAGCTGAGCTCACACCAAAGAGAACTAGCTAAATTACTTGCTGTTTTCTTTAACAGCTTAGGAGTATCTTGGACACTTTTAAAGGAATGAAAATTGTGCACTAAAGGCTGCATTAGAATGTGTGTAACCTAAGGCTTAATTCACAACTTTGCATTCTCCCCTCAAAGACCCAGATCAGATCTCTTGCTCTCTGTTTTCTATGTTTTTATGTTAAGGCAAATTCATAGACATAAAATAAATTAGCGGGAAGCCTTCTTGACTTCCTGCTATCTTGCCTGCTCAGCTTGTCTGTGGTCTGTTGGTAGTTTTAAGGTAATCTAGGAAGCCTTGGGACTCTGGACTCCAAGATCTGTGAGCCTAGATCCACCTACCAGGCATACTGCTCTGGAGTTACGGCTCCCAGAAGTGCAGAGAATGGTTATTCCCTTTTGCAAAGAACTTTGAAAGTTTTGGTTTTCATTCCTAATCAGAATAAAATGGAATTTATACTTTCTCAGTGGAAAATGAATTACCATTCTCCATCTAGTTGTAGTAGCAGCCATCAGATGGGAGAGTCTTAAGGCTACCCCCCTTAGTCCATATTTTGTGAGCTTTCTTTTTGTTGCCTTTCGTTCCGATACTTTAATGCTAGTTCATACATTTTGGGTAGATATGAAACTTGCTGTCAAGAAATTATTCACATAGGGACTCTTTAAGTAGATCATTTAGATTCCCAGCCCAGAATATTTTAAACATAAAAATGTTTTGTGTAATGGATTCATCAAGTCCTCAGAAGTAAAGGTCTTGCTTAGTGACCCATCAGAATTAAAACTGTTGCCCTAAACTGCTTTCCACTAGTGCTCTGTTGATCAGCAGTTAGTATTCTGCTGAGCAGTCCAGGACACTTGCTGAACTCCTGCACTTTGTTGTCCCCATTGGGGGACGTCTTTTAAATAATCTAGAAAAAATGTTTTTTTTATATGTTCTGAGAATCTCTCTTTGGTTCATCTCCCTCCATTCCCACAAGTAAATGATATAATAAGCACCTTTTTCTTTATTTTTGTAGATGGAAAAGTATCCATTGCATTGGACCTCGATCATGTCTTTGAGAGTGCCCCAATGGAATCTTTTTTAAGCTCTCTTAAGGTGATAATTTATTTTCTTGGAACTCTTGTCTATTAATTTGCGTTTGATTAGTAATTTTTTATATATTGGAATAAAAATAATTTTACTGCAGTTGTAATTTGATCTATCTGCCTGTTTATTTCAATAGTTTAGTCATGTGAAGCTAAATTAATTTTAAACAATGACCAAATTGTTCTGTTGGCTTGGTAAGCATTACTTAGAAAGCATAGATGCTGTATTATCAGTTAAATCTTCATCTGAAAATTTAAGCGTGAATAACTTTGTTCTCATGAGGAAATCCCAGTAAAGTTTGATAGAGAACAATTACTTTAGGATCAATGTCTTTGGGAGATTAGATGATAAATTTCATTTACAATTTGCAGCTGTAATAATGTGCGTGTTCTGTATGTGTTATAAGCCTTCTGCAGAGAGATGCCATACTGTCACTTTCCATGTGATTCCAATTAATAGTTTTCATTTTAAATACTGAATAGCAAAATCCACTTTGCCTATTTTATTTCCTGTTTAACTCTTGTCTCTAACTATTTTTCTAAAGGCCTTAGAGGAGCTGTGAGGGGTTCTAATGGTTCCATCCTGAGCTAACCCATTGTCTGTTTGCCAGGTATCTGTAGTTGACACAGTCTGGAGAGAAACCAATCTCCTCAGACTAGTTGTCAAGACACAGATCAGTTGAAGTGGAAGGTTGCAAGTTTAGAGTTCACTTGACTGGAAATAGTGTCTCTTCTGGGAAAGTTTTCTGGAAAGATCAACTAGTATATGTTAATATGCTGGTCCCAAAAGGTGCTGAGATTGAAGTCAGTATACAAATACTTGTTAGACATTGCATTAATTTGCTTTTCAAGTGAAATAATACCGTGTACACCAGTGGTCTCCAACCTTTTTACACCGAAGATCACTTTTTAAATCTCAGAACAGGTGAAGATCTACAGCCCCGCCCCTTTCTTGAAGCCCCGCCCCTTTCTTGAAGCCCCACCCTCTCTATTCTCCTCCTGTCCATCACTTGCTATCCCCAACCCTTACTTACACACTCTGATAAACACTTTATTTTTAAATTATGCGACATATAAAATTAAAATCACGTGTTTATATTTATGAAATAAATGGTGTTTTTTATTCATGCTATTTAAATCTAAAATGAAGCATTTATAATTATACATTTTGTGGGAACAGAGTTCTGCAGCTGGGGGCAGGGGAGAGGGAACAGGGTGCTGGGAGGGCAGAGGACAGGGTTCTGCAGCAGGGGACAGGGTGCCAGTGGGGACAGAGTTCGGGGAGTGGGGACGGGAGTGGGGACAGAGTTCTGTAGCTGGGGACAGGGGAGTGAAGTCTGGGGAGCGGGGACAGGGTGCCAGTGGCAGCAGAGTCACCTGCATCTGCCTCCTCCCAGGATTCTCCTCCCCCCTCCCCCCCCCGCGGGAAGCCAGCACATGTCTCCTCCAGGCCACCTGCGGAGCTAACCCCTGCCTCCCGCAGCAGGGCCAAACCCCCATTCCGTGGCACAGCGCAGCACAGCCCCTCCCCTCCTGCAGCGTGGCCAACCCCCGCGGGCACGTGCCCCGGGGCCAAAGCCCCCTCCCGCGGCGCAGCGCGGCCAACCCTCTCCTGCAGCATGGCCAACACCCGCGGGCGCCTGCCCCGGAGTCAAACCCCCCTCCCACGGCCCGGCCTGGCCAACTCAACTCCCTCCCCTCCTGCAGCGCTGCCAAACCCCGGGGATAACTCCTGCTCCCGCGGCGCAGGGAAACCCCTGCGCCCAACTCACCCCTCCGGCGGGGCAGGGAAGCTTCCGCACTCATCCTCCGGGGCCAACTCCCCCTCCCCCAGTACGCAGCAGAGCTGTGGGAGGGGGAGCAGCCTGCGCACTTCTGGAACCCCTGGAAGTGACGCGGGCTTCAGAGAGGACTTCCGTCCACCCCGCGGGAAGCCGGCACTACACTAGAGGTAGGTAGTGTGGCTTCTCGGGGGTAGGGGGAAAATGGAGGGCGGGGTTGCCCAAACGCGTCGCGATCGACTGGTCGAGGTGGTCGATCACGATCGATGGGTTGGTGACCACGGGTGTGCACAGATATGGTCTTATCAAAGGCTTTTCAAAGTGTACTTTCTCCAGATGTGTGTTGGTAAACTGTTTTAAATCCTGTTGCAAAACTTTGTCTACATGGCCAAAACTAATCATGAACTTTCTCAATCTTGACAGTTTAATTGGAGATGATAAATATTAAACATAAAATATTTTGTTTGTATCATTTGATTAGCTTCCATATTGTTGTAGTACTGAGAAACAGCCTTATGTTCGTAAACCCAATGCCACTTTGATTCTATCTGTTGACCAGTTAGGAACAATACCATTTCCTGGTTCCTCTATTTCTTCAGACTTTTGAGTCCTACAGCTACTGATAATCTTTCAGCTACTTCTGTATAATACTTCATTCTAGGGATAGCATTCATAGAAGAGACTAAGAATTATTTCTGAGCAGTCTTTAATAGCAAAAATTATTTTTGGAGTAGTGATTTGCCTTTTCTTCTTTCCAGGACTCGGTAGATTTTCTCTCTCTCAGTCTTCAATACAACTGTAGAAATGAAGTAGACTTAAAAAGGAAGTTGAATGAGTTACAGGTAATTCTGAGCAATGTTTCAAAATGATAACGGTACTACAGAGATTTTTAGACTGCTTTGGCGTTTTAGGGATCCAGTCTGCTTTCAGTTACACATGTGAAAATCCTGTGCAAGTGCCATTTTTGTGCCTATACAACTGAGGAAGAATGCGCTCTTAATGTTTTAGACTGCCGTGTTGAGATTTTCAGCAAAGGGAAAATGTTCTAAATACATTATGCACCTGGAGAAGTACATTCTTTTTCACAATTATTTTTCAAGTGCCCTTAAACAAAATGGAGACAGAGGATTATTATCGCAGTTAATATTAATATGAGATAACATGTCAGTGGTAGAGTGGAGTAGATGGGTTTAAGACCATTTCCCATACACTGTAATTCTACTGAACTGCTGAAACTATCTATCATATCACTAGCTGTGTTTATGTGTAATCTCTTAAAAGGCTAAGCAATAAAAAAAATTGATTTTACTGCTAATGCATGTTTTATAGCCACTTCCATGTGAGGAACTCAAAGTAATGTACAGTGTATTTGCCCTCTTAAGTCCTCTGTGATCTAGATGCATGATGTTGCAGCTGGGGGAAATTGTGCCTGTATTTCCCTTGAGTGGTCCTGCAAGGGCATTGCTCTCAGGCTTCTGGCCCCATAGCTGTTGCTGTGTGTGAATGGAGACTGGTGTGTTATGTCTCCCTCCTGACTGAAATGTTTCCAGTTTGTGTGGCTTCACTAGCAAAAGGTAGTCTGCCTAAGCAGGCTTTTCCTCTCTCATCCCAGATGGCACACACCATGTGATTGCCAGTTTCCATACAGCACTTCCTATACAGGCTTATTTTATTCTTAAAATAAAAGCACTACAGAGAGAACATTAGCATGCTTGTAGGTTCTCTTAATTGGTTTGATATAAGTTTGCCATAAATCACCCTGGCCTCCAACAAATGATCAATCTTTTAAGCTCCATAAAAGGGGCTCTTCTGTGGTCTCAAGTTCATAACAATTGCAGCTCAAAGCAAGGAATATAAAAGGCTGCAATTTGTCCTCTTATTAGAGGTCAAGGAGAACAATTTTTTCCCCTCCTCCTTGTAACACCCTTTTTGGTACTTGAAAACTGCTATCGTACACTCTGAAGTATAGCTAACTGGTTCTGTTTTGTCATTATGGCTCAGGTAATGGCCATGCTAGGAAACAGCAGTCTGTGACTCATTGGCTCGTCACTACTGCTTTTCTAACTTATGAGTTTTTGCAAGTATTGAAAATACACAGTTTGGACAGTGATCATTAATGTACCGATCAATTGAAATTACATACTGCCTTTTAAAGCTCTTTACAAATTCTTGCAGCATCCCTGTTAGGTAAGTGAGGAGTTTAATCTACATTTTACTTACAGGGATACTGTTTTAGTCTACTTCTGGCTTTACAACTGCACTAGCAAGCTTTGTATCTATAATTTGTCACTTGTGGCAGCAGTGATGGAAACAGTAGCATGGACAGGACTCATACTAGGTTTAAATGACTGTGTGGTAAGTGCCAAAGGTCTGTCTGTATTAGTGCTCCTATCAGTTCTGCCACAAATAGTGGATTACAGCTACCAAATTTGCTGGTGTAGATTCATTCAGCAAATAAGTTACAGCCAAGAATGGAAGATGGGATGCTGCAGTTGACAACGTTTCCTCTGGCTAATCCTTGTAGCTAGACCAGGTCAAACATTTGGTTGTTGTTGAAACAGTTTCTCAATGAATAGCTTTGTTTTTCAGGGTTTTTAAATGAAAATTCAATCCCCCGAAACTTCAGTATTTTGAAAATAAAAGTTTTTTCCTTCCAATTTGCTCCTTTGGGCCAGTCCTACTTAAAAATCAGGGATAAAGACTGGTTCCAAATATTTTAGCCTTCAATCCTTTCCCTTGTCCCACATGCCTTTCCCCAATCCCATGAGTCTTTTACCTCCACTCTCCCAGGCACTAAGAAGTTTCTACCCCCCATGCAGGCAAATGAGTCTTATATTCTTCCCTCTCACTCACGTCCCTGAGTAGGGAGCTCTTGAGCACTGAGCCACTTTTGTCTCTGCCACGTCTGCTTTGGCCCTTGACACTACTGCTGCTTTGAGCGTCTTGCCTTCTGCCGCTTAGCATGAAGCAGAATACAGAGCCCCACAGCAGCAGGAACCTGGGCATGTCTTTCATGTGGTCTGGCAGAAATGCCCTGATCCCCGCATTCTGCTGGCCTCCCAGTTCTCAGAGTGAATACACAAGGGTTAATAATGAAGTCTGCTTATATATGTACATATTTTATGTGGTACGAGCTATGCAAATTATTCTTGCCTCCCATTCTAATCTCTGACATGTAATTTGATAGGATTCTATCAGGTTTTGTATCCCATGTTGAAAACAACAAATGCCAAGCATGTGCCTTTGCTTATCTTCTTCCTGGGGCTTGATGCTGTAATTTTTTTTTTACAGACTATCAAGAAGAATACAAAAATTTTACTCTTTAGTCTAACGCTTCGTGAATGTAACTCCGTGAAAGAGAATCCATTTATACCTGTAGCTAGCCTTTTCCAGGGTAAGTGGCATGTTCAGAAGGAAGTTCCAGCTTTGCAAGACACTTTCAGTAGCATGTAGGGCTAATAACTTAATTTTAATGTCTCAGTTTCCCATTTGTCAAATGTGACTTAACACTTCCTTCTTCCCATCCTTTTCTCTATTGTCTGTCTAAATTAGTACTATTAATACAACATCTTGTACAAAGGGACACTGGTTTTGGTTGGTTTCATTTGTCTTCATTAAACAAGAAGTAATAATAATGGTCACATTTTTGGTTAAGCATCGGATCTAAAGTATAAAACTAACATTTTGGGGATTCTGAACATAATCTTCCCAAGCAGATACTATGGGGAGAGGCAATTTTTAAAAGACTGGATTTCAAACCATGATCTTGTGTATATCATAATTCTGCTGACCAAATGTAGTCATTTTCTTAAATCCCATTGACACCTCTCTCATTTGTCTCACACATCTCCCAGCACCACACACATGTTCCTGTAAGTCATCCATTTTAGGTTTATTAGAACTGCCTGCCTGAGGAGTTAGGATAGTTCAGAGAGCTTCTAGGAAAATGGAGCAGCTTGGTGAGCTACTTTCTGGTGGTGTCTAGAACCTTCCACTCCTACCATTTCCCTGATTAACTGCCACCCCTTTCACAGACCGAGAAGCATTCCTCCAGAACCTCTCCTACATAGCTAACACACTGCCAGCCTGGAGGGCTATGCCAAGAGTTATTTGGCTTAGTTGCATGTGCGTCATGCTAAGTTTTTTGTTAAAACTGCCAAGGTGCAGGAGGAGGGATGAGTGAGAAGGGGATGTAACTGCTGTTGTTTTACCAAAATTGTACAAAACAAGAAACACTGTCCTGTCACCCAAAGCAATCCTGAAATTGTCTGCCTGAAAGTGTTATCCTTACTATAAACTTGAGGTCATAGGTCATCACTAGTTTTATTGTTAAGGTAAAGGGCGAGAATGAAACAAGACACAAAAAAACAAGAATGGGAGAACACGAAGTAAATGAGAGAGGCTTTTATTGTATCTAGTTATCACTCAAATGTTTGTGTGTGTTCAGATTTGTCTGTTGGTTATATATGGGGAACTGCACTGGCTAATATCAGGGGTCACGTGTTTTATTGTAACTGAGTTGTGTTTTTCTTTTTTCTTTCAGCCATTAATCAAGATCAGACATTAGCAATGGGATATGATGTTAATGAATTCTTAAACTACTCATCAGTTCATAAAACTAGGTACACAGTTTTCATTCCTTAAGTCTTGTAAACTTTCGTGTTCTGTAGAAGAAAGAAATGTGCTATATGGATGGCATCCTACGGCCTTTAATAAACATGCCACTTCAAATCATTTTCAAATGCCATTTCTTTTCAAATAGAAATGCTCTGTCCAGATTTCACCACCATCGGAGTATCTTGTACTCCTATAGAACCTGATCCCATTGCTACATCTTACAATAAAACATCTTCAAAAAGGCATTGTCATTCATGTGAAGATAGTGGGATTATACACAAGTGTTTGTGTTAGCTGCCTCTGGACATGCACTAGCATAAATCATTACTGTAAGCACCTCATATTCCAAATTTTGCCCTTTTGGGTTTTGTGATCTGTGCATTCAGTTACCATCATGTAGGTATTATGTTTGAGTGGAAAAAGAAATGAATGACTATAACAACCTGCAGAATATAAGTTTAATAATGCCACCAGTCATAACTATTTTAATTTATTTTTATTCTGTAGTTCCCATGTAGCTAATACGACCATCCAGAAAAGACTACAGGAGGACCAGACTGATGCTCTTGCTCCTCTCTTCTCCTATCAAACAGTTTGGGAAACTTTTGCTAACCAGTCCGAATTGGAGAGAGACGCTTTTGTTCATGATGTTTTCCCACATGGTTTCCTCTGGGGCACGTCCACTGGTTCCTTTAACATTGAAGGTGGCTGGGCTGAGGATGGAAAAGGAAAGAGTATTTGGGACCAGTTTGGGCAGCAAGGTCATGTCTACATGAATCAGACCGCAAATGTGGCATGTGACAGTTACCACAAAATTGACTATGATGTTTATTTGCTCAGGGGCCTTCAGTCAAAGCTGTACAAGTTTTCTATATCCTGGCCCCGGATTTTTCCTACTGGCGTTAGAAATGGCTTCAGTTCCAAAGGTGTAAATTACTACAACAAATTGATAAACAGCTTATTGGACTCTAATATTCAGCCTATGGTGACTTTGTTCCATTGGGACCTCCCACAAGTACTTCAGGATCTTGGTGGATGGCAGAATGACAGCATTATTGATATTTTTGCAGACTATGCAGACTTTTGTTTTGCCACCTTTGGGGATCGGGTTAAATTTTGGATTACCTTCCATGAACCTTGGGTCATTAGCTACGCTGGTTATGGCACAGGACAGCATCCCCCAAGAATCGCTGATCCAGGAGTAGCCTCTTATAAGGTACTCACAAAGAAGAGCTTGGGTTCTTAGGGCTATTTGAGTTGTGCTTTTTCTTTGTTTACACTCTGTTTGTGTTGATTCTGTGACCAGAACACAGATCTCAACACTTATAAGAAATCAGCTAATTTAGCAAAGGTTATATTAATGGGTGCCATTGTAATTGTGGCAAAACAGAGAGAATGAATGTATTTAACTGTATCCCTCTCCTCCCAAAGCCCTTGTTGTCTCATCACTTTAGTTTGGGATCGTCAAAGGGGCCAAAGGAAATCTGATGTGAAAAATTCAAAGTTAGAGTGTGATGAGATGTTCAGAGTAGATACTACAATTTGTCATGTGTTTGTGCAGTGGCCTCTATAGATAGAGAAGACTCCACTTGTATCTGGGTTGGAAAGTGGCAGCTTCTTAACATTGCTTGTTACAACTATGAAATAAGTTGGCATAACTACTTCAAAGTTTGAATCTGCATTTGGGGTTCGGGTGGCAGGAAAGGTTTCTTTCATTCAAACTAGTTTTATGTCGCACTTTCTATTAACATAACTGGGGCTTTGCTAGGAATGTTTAATGTTTACATGTACTTAATCTTCCTGTTCAAAAGTTCTTAAACCACTGGCTACAAACTTGCATTTCTCTTTTTCTCCCAAGGTGGCTCACTCCATTATTAAAGCACATGCAAAAGCCTGGCATTTATATGATGACAAATATCGCTCCCAACAGCATGGTAAGGTGGGAATAGTGCTGAATTCAGATTGGGCTGAACCCAAGACCCCAACAAGTTCGGAGGACGTGAAGGCTGCTGAGCGCTACATGCATTTCATGCTCGGCTGGTTTGCTCACCCTATATTTGTTAATGGTGACTACCCAGATATCCTGAAATCCCAGATCCAACAGAAGAACCAGCAGTGTTCTATCCCAGTTGCCTCCCTTCCTTCATTTAGTGAAGAAGAGAAGTCCTTAGTGAAAGGGACTTCAGATTTCTTTGGTCTTTCTCATTACACTTCCAGACTGATCAGCACGGTGGCTAATGATACCTGTAATCCAGGCTATGAGAATATTGGGAATTTTTCCCAACATGTGGATCCTTCTTGGCCACAGACAGCCTCATCTTGGATCAGAGTGGCCCCTTGGGGACTGAGGAGGTTGTTGAAGTTCATTTCCCAGGAATATACAGGAACTAGGGTCCCAATTTACATAGCTGGGAATGGTGCGCCGACAGAAGATGGAGGGGATGTTATTAATGACACAAAGAGAATGGATTATTTCAGGCTGTATATCAACGAGGCTCTGAAAGGTAAGCAGCATTTGTTTTTAAATGGTTAAATGTTCTTTAATTTCACCAGTGTTTCCACTTGTGGCAACCTGTGAACATTCCCACTTGTGTGGGACCATTAAAGCTATATCCTTTGCTAACTGCAGCAACAAACTGTGACTTAATCCAACAGACCAGGCCTGAGCACATTTCCCAGGCCTGAAGAAGAGTTTGTGTAAGCTCAAAAACTTTTCACCAACAGAAGTTGGTCTAAGAAATCGAGAGCTAAGGTGGGTGACGTAATACCTATGTGCATACTATGTAAGACAGGCAAACTTGGGCCCAAATCTGTACTGAGCTCTGTGGGAAGACCTTTGCCTTAATTCAAAGCCCTGCTGTAGTAATATGGTACCAGGCAAGAATATGAATCTGCCAGACTGGATCTCATTGTATTATCGGGGCCAAAGTGGAGAAGACTGGCATATCTCTGCCCTCTGTATAAAAACATCACTCACAGAAGTGTGTGTGTGTGTGTGTGTGTGTGTGTGTGTGTGTGTGTAAAGCACTTCACAAAGCAGTGTGTGTAAAGCACTTCACAAAGCAGTTCAGTATCATTGCCTGAAAGATGTTATCCTTTGATAACCGCGATGGTGACCTATATAAAATGTTGATCTTAGTCCAGTTACCAGTGTCACGATAACCATCTGCATGATGTACATCATTTTGCACCCCTGTTGGTGATCTCCACAGAAAGGTTGAGGATGAATGCACAGGGCAAGTGAATTCCCGAGTAGAGATTCTCTTCTGGTTGTAAGTTGATGTTACTTAGTAGCACAGTATGAGGAAGTTGGCACTGCTGCCCCTTCTTTACATGTTCTGTGGTTAATTAAAGGACTTCTTTCTCCAGGGAAGTCCAATCAGTTCTGAATTTACATGACCATTTTTTTTTTGTTTTAAGTATAGTAGTAAGTCCACAAGAGAGCTGTACAACTGCAATGGCTATAGATATGTTACCTTCAAAACATAAATGTGTTGGTTTAGGAAATCAGAAGAAGTAATCAATAGTGAGGGTTTGAAGGGAACAAATAGTCCTTAGGTACTTAATTCCCATTGACTTGTGAAGGGAGTTAGGCACAAAGGCACCACTTGTGCCTTTGAAAATCTGCCACATGGCAGCACAGCTTACCATGATTAGGTTCTTGGGCCAACTTATAGCTGAGTTTTGAAACTATCTAAATCTGTTCACATAGAAAACTAATTTCATGATTCTCCTTCCTACCTCTGGGTACAACAAATTGTCAAACAGCCCTGGAAGGCACTCAGCCAGGGCAACTTACTTATTTAAGAAAAAATATCCTCAAAGAAAAGACTTAGGAGAAATATATTCACAACATTAACACAATTCCTTTTCTCTGAGCAAGTGCATGTCAAAATATTTTAAAAATCTATTTTTAATCTCAAAGGACAGTTTATGAAAAAAAAATCATGCTCTAGGTCTGGGGTCGACAGCCTTTTCAAACCAAAGAGCCAAACTACAACAAAATTCAGAACAAGTGGTCAATAAACAACCATACATATAAAAATGCCCATTGCATGACTGAAAATATACATCTTAATATTATCTATAATGGACATGATTAATAATAGCATAAATGAAACATTGTACTCAGACTTTATTTAATTGGACTTCTGCTGCTGCATCTTTTTCGCACATTTCTTTGAAGATTACATTATAACTGGTCAAATCCAGATTCAGGCTGTCATCTGTCAATCTTATGGCAGGGGTTGGGGATGTGGGGGGTGCAGGAATCTTGGTTGGGGTGTATGAGGGGCTCAGGATGGGATTTGGGTGTATGGTGGGCTCAGGACACAGGTTTGGTGTATGTGGGGTGCAGAAGTGTTATGGCAGGTAACTGGGGATGTACAAGTATGAAGGGTTCAGGGGAGGGGATTCAAGAGTAAGATGGGCTCAGGGTTGGTGTGTGGGGCAGGGTGCAGGAGTGTTATGACGCTAAAGCCAGATGGGAGCTAGGCCCCAATTGGGGGCTTGTTGGTTGGGCTTCATGTTTACATAAAGTAAAATCTTATGTCCAACACAATGTCTGTCTTTATGGCAGGGGTGGAGAACCTTTTTTGGGTTGGGGGCCACTGAGTTTGGATGAAGGAGTCCATTGTGACCTGAGGCTTGGGATTGAGGTGCAGGAGCTTGGATTGTGACCTAGGGCGGGAGGGAATTGTAATCTGGGGGAGGGGGCTGGGGTGCAGGGTCAAGGAGGAGGGTATGGGCCAGGAGAAGGGCAGAGGGTTTGGGTTATGTAGAGTCAGGGAGCAGAGGGCTGGGGGGAGGGAGAGGCTGGGGTGCCAGAGGCAGGCTCTGGCTGGGAGACTTACCAGTGAGACTCCAGGCTAGCAACCCAGCATGTTTGTCAGGAGCCTGTTCTGCTTCTGCACAGGCTGCAGAGCCATGTGCTCTGTGAATAAGAACCTGAGGGGAAGGTGGATTGGTGCTTTGCGCACTGCCTGTTCTTGAAGCAAGCAGCTTCTATTGGCCGAAACCGGTCAATGGGATTGTGCTGGGCGCGAGAGCAACCATGAGGCATCACTACCCCTTTGCCTCCTGGCTCACAGTTTGTGAAAAACAAACGGCCCAGCAGCTTCTTTTCTGAGCACTGTGTGTGAGTGGGGAAAGCAGGGGAGTCTGCTGTGTCTGTGGGCCGGATAGTTTTGCCCAGGCCTGCTGTTGCACCAGCACAGGCTCCCTGCTGCAGTGGGAGCAAGGGGGGGGCTGGGCTCGAGCTTCAAAAGAGCCATATCTGGCTCCCTAGTGAGCCATATTTGGCTCGTGAGCCAGAGGTTGCTGACCCCTACTCTAGGGGTTATAAAAGTAAAGGATATTGAGTGCATTTATCACTGCCTCCTTGTGGTTGCTGTACGAACAGAACAGCTCATATGGCACATGGACCAGATTTTTTGGAGTCCAAAGATCCTAGAGTCTCTCCTCCATGCAATATGTATTGACATAGGTGATAACAGTAGGGTACACATACACAGTACAGAGATTAATTACAATGTCTTGTGATTACCATAAATTAGCATATATAATTAGTGGGTTATACACGTTTTTACAGCCCCCCCCGAGGATAACCTCAGGGTATACATGTCCGCGAGAGATACACATTTATTTTTACTCACAAGCCTGCGCTGTGCTCTCTATTCCCCCGCCCAGAGGAGAGTGGGTTGCGCCTGTCTGCAGCTGCGCAGGGCCTGGGGACGAGTGTGGCTTCCCTCCCGCAGGCCAGCCAGCGTGCCTGCACTGTGCTCTCCGTTCCCCCCGCTGACAGCTGGCATGTGCAATCACCGTGAATTAGCATATAGAACCCATGGGTTATACTCGAGTGCGGGTTATATATGCTAATTCACGGTACTTATTGGTGTTCTTAGATACATGAGATACTTTGGCCTTTAGCTTCAGGATGTGTTGTTGGGTTTGTGGATGTTGCACTATTGTATTCATTTGTTTCTTTGTATAATATTGCCCATTGTCCAGAAACATAGTCAACATCTAACCTATTCTCCATTGTGTTTTAACAGCTATTAGGCTAGATGCAGTGGACGTTCAGGCATATATTGCCCGATCTCTAATTGATGGCTTTGAAGGCCCAGTGGGTTACAGTCAACTATTCGGACTACATCACGTGAATTTTGAGGATGACAACAGACAAAGGACACCAAAGGAGTCGGCATATTTTTTCTCCAATGTTATTGAAAAAAATGGTTTCCCCAAAGAAGTCATGGGCATATCTTTTCAATCGCCAACAAGTGATTCACCCCCACCACCAAGATTACTCAGTTTACCAGCATCTGAAGTACCATCAAAGGCAAAGGTGGTTTGGGAAAAATTCTCACCCCAAACTAAGTTTGAAAGGGACATGTATTTATATGGAACCTTCCCAGATGATTTCACATGGGGTGTGTCTTCCTCTGCTTACCAGATTGAAGGAGGTTGGGATGTGGATGGCAAAGGGCCTAGCATTTGGGATAACTTCACCCATGTCCCAGGGAACATAAAAAATAATGAGACTGGAGATAAAGCTTGCGATAGCTACAACAAACTGGCTGCAGATCTTTACATGCTGACAGCTTTAAGGGTAAAGAGCTATCGCTTCTCTCTATCTTGGCCTCGCATTTTTCCTAGTGGAAGAAATGATTCCATAAATAGCCACGGGGTTGATTATTACAACCGACTTATCAATGGTTTGATTGCAAAAAATATCACTCCGATGGTCACTCTGCACCACTGGGATCTGCCTCAGGCTCTCCAGGACATTGGTGGCTGGGAGAACGATATATTGATTGAGCTGTTTGACAGTTTTGCAGACTTCTGTTTCCAGACTTTTGGAGACCGGGTGAAATTTTGGATGACCTTTAATGAACCCTTTGTCATTGCATGGGCTGGATATGGTGTAGGAGAGCTTCCACCAAATGTGAAAGATGATCCGGGACACACTCCCTATAAAATTACACATACATTGCTAAAAGCTCACGCCAGAGCCTACCATACATATGACCGTAAATACAGATTAAGTCAGAAAGGGGTTATTTCTTTGAGCCTTAATACTGAGTGGGTTGAACCGAAGACACTGACTGATCCCAGAGATGTGGAAGCAGCAGATCGCTACCTGCAGTTTACTCTAGGGTGGTTTGCACATCCAATTTTCAAAAATGGTGACTACCCAGAGGCCATGAAATGGACAGTGGGGAACAGGAGTGAGCTACAGAACTTGCCCTCCTCTCGTCTACCAGCTTTCACGGTGGAGGAGAGAGAATACATCAGGGGCACAGCTGATGTCTTCTGTTTCAACACCTACACTTCCAAAATTATCAAGCACAAGACCACCAGGCTGAAACCAGCTTCTTATGAGGGTGACAAGGAGCTGTCAGAGGAGGTTGATTCATCCTGGCCGACCTCAGCGCTGACGGATATGAGAGCTGTAGCCTGGGGTCTCAGGAGGCTGCTGAATTGGATTAAAGAGGAATATGGCAATCCCCCGATTTATGTAACTGAAAATGGAGTGGGAAAACAGACCAAATCTGACGTTGATGATACTAATCGGATATTTTACTACAAAACGTACATCGATGAAGCTCTGAAAGGTATTGGAGTTATTTACGGTAGTGCTAGCATGACGGTGGAAGATTTCTTCCACTGGGGGCTCCAGGCCTGCTTTTTCTCCTAGTGAGGAATGTCTTTTTAAAAGATAAGCAAACCTTGTGTCTTGCCTAACACTCCAGGAACCGAAAGTGCTTACAGTGAGATGTGTAGTTTACCCGGTCTAAATTGGAGGTCACCCTTGAAATAGTTTTATAAAATAGAAAGGTGAGCTTTTTGAGCTCCCCCAAGCTTCCCTTCCCTTGTTCATTTACTCTTCTTTCCCTTATCTTCTGCCGTGCTGGTTGATTCTGCTTTTGGGGATTTATTGAGTCAGGCCCAAATAGCTAGCAGTTACCATCCAATGGTGGCTCTGAATTAGGAAGCTTTCACTGCCGCTATCCATTTCTTGGCCAGAGCAGCTCTGAGGCTGCAAAGCTAACTTAAACAGCCAGGCACCAAAAAGCCAGCAAAGCTGGCTATTTACTTCTCAATATCCCATGGTATGAGTGTGTCTAACACCATGCTAAAAAATGTTGAACCAGTGTGGCTGTAGAATGGACCTTGGGGGGACTGCTACAGCTAGGTGGTGGTTAGTGCAGCCTTGTGGATCTGGGGCGTGGATTTTCTTATGAATGGGCCTTGGAGTAGAGAGGAGAGGAAAGGAGCCAATTATGATTTTAAGTAAGATAAGTAATCTAGAGATGACCCTGCACCATAAATCTCAGCTCTGGATTTTGAGAGAGCCTAGGCATGTTGAGATTTTGGATTTTTTCCCCTCGTCCTCCCCCCACCCCCAGGTTGCCAGATGGTTTACACAAAAATACCGTCCGTTTTCTTCCCTCCCCCTCCCCCTGAAAAAAAAAAACACCGGGGGAAAAAATGGGGGAGACCACAGTTGTCTAAAAAGTCTGGTATTTTCTGGATTTTTTTTACCGGACAGGAGGCAAAAATACTGGACTGTCCGAGTCAATACCGGACACCTGACAACCCTACCCCTCCCAGAAGAGTCACTAGAGCTTTCACTCTCTTCTGATAAAAGCCAGTTGGTAAACCATGCTGTAATGTACTAACTTTGTGTGTGTGACATTGCCCTCTAGGTGCTGGCCCACCCAAATAGTAAGGGATGATTCTAGTATTACTAAGGCAGGTCTCTTAGCCCAAGGATGAGGGTTCTAGCCCTACTTCCTGAAGGGGTGTATGATGCATGTAGTGTTTGTGTTCACACATGAATTCTCTGCAATACCATTATAGCTCACACAAGGAAACCTCACTGTGGCACTGTTCTGTTATGTATATTGTCCAAGCAACTGTTTCTTTTTAAAATATTTTTCAGCCTACAAGTTGGATGGCGTTAATCTTCGAGGATATGTGGCTTGGTCTCTCATGGACAGCTTTGAATGGTTGCATGGTTACAGTGCCAGGTTTGGACTGCACCAAGTTGATTTTGAAAATCCTAACAGGCCAAGAACCCCCAAACGCTCTGCTGTGTACTATGCTGAAGTCATACGCAACAACGGGATCCCCCTACCAAAAGAGGATGAATTTTTATATGGTGAATTTCCAAAGAATTTTTCATGGAGCGTAGCAACTGCAGCATATCAGGTTAGGAAATCATAATGCCCCCCAATTACGTGTTGAGCAATTGATTGTTTTCAGAGGACATTCAAAGCTTTCATAAAATTGGGGTTTAGTAAAATTGGAGGAGCTTATTATAGTTACTCTCAGATTGAGGGCCACCAACACGAATGTCCTAAAATTGAGATTAAATGTCAAAATCAGGAGAACTTGTTTTTATACCATTTTAGATTGAAGGAGCCTGGCGAGCAGATGGGAAAGGACTTAGCATTTGGGACCAGTTTGCTCATACTCCCTTGAAAATTAGCAATGATGAAAATGCAGATGTGGCTTGTGACAGCTACCACAAGTTGGAGAAGGACTTGACTAGTCTGAAAGCTCTCAAGGTGTCTCACTATCGCTTTTCAATCTCCTGGCCTCGTGTTCTCCCAGATGGAACCACAAAACATATAAATGAAGATGGATTACGCTACTATGAGAGGCTTATTGATGCTCTCCTTGCATCTAATATTAAACCTCAGGTAAACATCTGTTGATGATGTCATTTTGAAACCTAGACTGTCAGTTGTCAGCGAGAAGCAATGATAACAGTTACAATATGGTCTCCTGATGGCGAGGGGGGAATAAGGGTAGTTGTCCTGTGGTCTGGTGACTCAAAAGGACCTGGATCTCTCAGCCGCCTCCAGAATCCCAGGCCTTTTAAATTGATGCTGGCACCTGCGAGGTGCACACTGTGCACTGCTATGGGCTGGCTGGGGGACGAAGAGAAGCGTAGCAGGCTCTGGGCAACGCTGAGATGTGGCTGCCCCACCCTCACTCATTTCACCCAAGGCCCCGTCCCTTCCGGGAGAATGGAGCCAGTCTCCTCCTTCCCCCCATATTTTGCTGAGAGGCCCAGCAAATCTGTCAGTCCCCCTGGTGAGAAGCATTGTTGGAGAGGTCGTCTTGTTTACACTATTAGTAGGTTCAATCATCACAGTATTTACAGTTTGTTACTACAGTAAAACTCCGATGGTCCGGCATCTGATGGTCCGGCACCATCAGGAACCCGGAAGTGCGCTGGGTAGACGGACCATTGGAGCTGCTCTACCCCAGCTGTCCCCGATTCAGCC